TTGTAAGTAACTCTCTCTCGGCATAAAACTGATGAAGTGTATTTAAGATTATACAAAATAATAATCTAGAAATGTTCCTATTCTATTCATTCTTTCAATGCAATGTAAACAATACACAATGTAAATTATTATTGGGCATGCGAAAAATATTAATTCTGAAAGAAGTAAATATGACTATGTGTTTTGAAGAATTTTAAAATATTACAAAAAATTAAAGAATTGTTAGATTTTGTTCCTGCAAGGAAAACAAATTGTTTTTGTAATGCATAACATGATTCTTATAAAGAGAAGTATACTACTGAACATTCATAAGGATTCATTTTCGTTATGATACTAACTAAAGAACAGCAAATTAATAAATCAACAGCAATGATGATGACACAATTCTTTGAAGATGTTCACAGGTAGGGTCATAGGACTTCGCAAGCTACAAATTTGTTCTTAAAATAATATTGTATTCCTGAATATTATATATATAGTTAAGAATTGTAATGAGGGAAAATGGCCTACAACATTCTACTGCTTTTTACTGTGTACTGTTATACAAATTTTGAATGAAGTGCCAGGCCCTGTAGCTTTAAGTAGTTGGATTCACGACATATGAGGGGAAAAAATCCAAAAACATTTTCAACTGTAGCCATAAAGGATTGAGCCTTATCATCATCTGAGCTTATACTTTCAGGAATCATTGCACCTGCATTGTAATAAAATGAAAACAGTTTTTTACTACATAGAAATAATATAGACGGATAGAAAACAAATGTCACAGTAGCATATAAGTATGGCATTTGTAGAACATGTTTTACCGTTGCCTTGTGATTGCAGCATTGCAAATTCACAATTTCATCATAAAGTTTTAAGGCTGATACAGTAAAAAGTATGTAGGTTATATCAATACAATTTTTTGGCTGGGACAGCTACAAGTAATGAACTGTCATTTTGGCATCTATTTATACTTAAAGACAAACATTTCTCTTATATGCATGAATTTCTTAGAAGAAAACTTTTGTTTTTAATTTTCATTACTATAATTATTTATAAATATATTAGTATGGTTATATTTGACATCACTGTTGAAGGGAAACGTGAATTTGAAACCTCCAGAATTTAACCAGAAAATATTACTGAAACTGTTTCTACATTCTTCATGTGACTCTCAAATTCTAAATATTGTCAGGTTTGTGAGATTTTAATTTTGATATTCAAATGCTGTCCCTAGCTCTTCTATATAATTTTCAAAGGTCCTTGATTCAATAGATGTTAGGTACTGCAGTGTATTTGTCAAAGAGTGCAAACAATTTTGTAATCATTTTGAAAGATAGAACGACAAATGTTGCCTGACTAGTGAAAAGTAATGCAAGTAGTACCAGCAGTGCCACCTTTATAACATTACAGTAATAGTTTCCTGAAAGGTTCAGTTTAGCTGTACTTCTTGAGTGTCAAATCTCTGTTGACAAACAATGAATGAAAAAGTTAATTCAAGTATTACCAGGTTTGTTTAATAAATTGTTAAAATCTTTATGAAGAAATACTTATTTCTTTTAATATAATTTAATTTTGATTCCATTTCCCAACATGTATTCTTGTGAGTTCTATTCTTTGAAATAAGTTTTTGGTGCTTGTACTCAGGGTAACAATTTCTTCAGTACTTCTGATTAAGTCGACAGGTCTATGACATGTTGGTGCTACCTGTCAGTTGTCCAAAAATGCTGCCTACTAGCTTTGTATTTGTTCATCTGTTGCAGTGAAATTACCCTGAATACTGACACTGTTCTTTGGTTTTATGTTTGTTATGCGTATAATGAATGGAATTTCTCGCTACAATGATTGAAGTATTTAAAAAGTGTGCGTGTAAATGGATAAGCAAACTGAATTATGGCAATGCATTTGTGTAATCATCCTCGATTTTCATTTTCTTTCATCTTTGCCCAGTGGAGGGCGGTAATTTGCATAATGTAATATGCTTCCTTTCATTTTAATCATATGTATATAATTATTATAAACCTTAATTACCATTATGTAAAATATTTTATAAGTATTGAGATATGCTAGTAGAGCATGGTGTGTAAAGAATTACTTGTTACTTTTTGAGGGAGCTTTTGTGACTTCTATAGAAAGTTCCTGAAAGAAGTAAGTGTAAAGGTAATTGGTACTAAAACTATGTTAAATCTATGAGCAGCTGTTAACACATATTTCATTTGTACAAAATGAGTTTTTTTCTCAGGTGCCAAATTGTCTGAATTTCTTTCTATAAGCAATTTAATTTGAAATATAGTAGTTAACTGTTCATTTATTTGTAATTAAACCTTCTAAATAATTTGAGAGAATGGTTGTACTCATTGGCACATTCTCCAAAATGAATTATAGTGTGTTGAATGAAATTGCAGTGACTTAGTTGTAATGGCACTCTGTGTCACATTATGTTTTATTATTAATATGTAATAAAATCTTTATCTGTATTTCATTAGTATTTTTATTTCATCCATGTGGTTCAATTCTTCACATGTAGATTATTTACAATATGAACTGAGTGTTTTTTTCTCAGAGAAGGAATAGCTCTACAAAACTTCTATAGTTTCCATTTGTTACAGTAATTGTGGGGTCTTAAAGAAAAGGGATGCAAGTACTGAAAAATAAGTTTTGGGCAATTGGGTTTTAAAGTTAAAAGTTTAATATGAATACCAGAAATAATTGCAAAATTACTGAATATCCTGAATTAATTTTACACACTTGTGCACTATATCATTCACCTACTGAACTTACAAAAATCTTGACCACACATTTTGAAAATGTAAATATTGATGCATTACTGCGTAACAGGATTTTAACAGAAAAATTTGTTTGGAATTATGTTTATTTTCTTCATTATCATTAAAATCTTCATTGTTTTCAGGTGTGTCCAGATATTAAGAATGAGGTTCACCTCTGCATTATTAATCTGTGGTAGAAAATACTGCTTGACGCTTAAAAAAATATTTTTTCAAATTCTTTACTGAATTTTAAAAGATGCTCAAAAAAATTGTGCATGTCTCATTTTCATTGAACTCACTGAATATACGAAAATTGTCGGAATATATGTTATGTAGGCTAATATTGCTAGCAAAATAGCAAAACTTGCCTCTACTTCTACTATAACTAGCAAAATGAGAGCTCAATAAAATGTGTGTGTTGTAAAGCTACTTTTATATTGAAAATCAAAACAAGGGGCATACCCCACTTGCTCAATGGATTATGGAAAATGGATGAAAATCCTATTTGAGATAGGGGTCATTGACCCAAAAGTTGAAACTTGTTACAGGCATATTTAATCATTTTGAAATAATATTGTACAAATGTTAACTAATTTATTTAATATTTTTTAAAGTAAAAATATAATTTACTTCTTGCTGGTCAGAATAGTTTCTAATTGTACAGAAACAGTAATGCAGCCAAAAAGTGTTTATTTGGTAGTTAAACTTATCTATTGATTTTAATTAATTAATGTTAACTGGCAACGTGTTGCAAAGTTGTTCAACTGTTATAAAGTTCACATGTACTATACGTGAATTTCTAGAACCGAGCTCTTGATAGTAACACCTAAGAAAGTGATTCCTATAATGGGGGTTGAAATTATAAATGTCTGTCTAGCATGAAAGTATGTCCCCACCCTTATGTACATCAGTTTTAACAAAAACTACAGATTCATAAATAAATAGTCAAAGCATTGGTACGGTTGCAAGCTTCATGCAAAGAGATTTGCAATAATCACATGAATGGCATTTATTTGTAACTGAGGTTCCAAGTGAGGCAACGTTTTAGATTTTCAAATCAAAGAAGTTTGTTTACTTACTGTATTTTCCTTTTGAAATTCGTATTTTTTACCTCAATGTCAATGAAGTTTAACGTCCAGTTTCCCTTCATGTATTGAGCTAATGTTGAAATGGTCATTTGATTTGTTTCTGGACAGTGAGTATAACATCATTATGTGCGCACATTTCCTTGAACTTTCATTTTGCTACCTGTATGAGGGTATTTTAGCCATTTAGCCAGGAATACCTTCGTATCAAATCCGTAACTTTTTAGATGGATGCAAATGGTTTCTATTACTTGGAAGCAAATGATGTTGTTTGGTTATTTTATTTATTTACAGTTTATATGTCTCTGAAATGCAAATTTTTGGATAGGAAGAATTTTTTTAAACCAAGTTTCGAGCAAAGCAGCTCAGCGATTCGGATATCCAAGTAGTTTATTAAACAAAATATGCTTATTGCCTTCAGGGCTTAGTTTCAAACTTTCAACATTTCCTCCCTGGATACCTGTATACATGCAAGTTTAGATAATTGTATGGACATTTTTTACAACATATTGGGCTTTTGAAACCTTATCTTCTTTTAAAGAAACAGTTTTAGCAGTCATTCAGTTATTTACAATGGAGATAGATTTACTGAACAGAAATTGTGTGAAGTGATAATATTAGGATAGTTATTTTCTTATTTATTAGCATTGTTTGAAAGTGTCAATTACTGATGCCTATGGTCAGGGGTTATTCCAAACATGGAGCTATGAATTTTCTATACTCCACAGGGATTAATGGCTTGGTTCTACAGGAATTCATTAAGGGACTCGGAAATTATGACTAATAAAATTGCCTATGTTATATGAATTTTCTATACTGTTCTATACTATACTATTCATATACTGTACTATACTATTCATATAATTTTATATATATATATATATATATATATATATATATATATATATATATATATACACACACACACACACACACACACACATATATTGAATTTTGAATTTCCATCATTTAAAAACTACATATCTGAATTCAGCTGTGTATATAGAATCAAATACTTTACGAAGGATAAACACGAAACTTTCAGCTCTTTTGACGTTTCAAATTTTGCGCCAGGCGCTGAGCGCTATGACATATAATTGGTTCATTTATTTGCCGCCAGGGTAAAGCTTGCCAAACCGCGCTCTGGAAAAACAGAGGGCGCTACCATGACCAGAGAGTATTCAATTGTCCCGACAGGCCATTGACAGAACTGGACAGAATCGTGATACAAGGAATTTGCATCAAAGAACAGTGAGTCTGCTGCTGCTGCTGGTCTGCTGTCAGTCAGCTTCGTCAGCTGTTCTGGTTTTATGTGCTTCTATGGTTTAAGGGGCCATACACATGTATGCATGTATTCTGTCACTGTATATAATGGTATCAGCTTTGCAGGGGAGGTAGGGAAAGGTCAACGGTGATACGCATTGTGTTAGCTGTAAAATCGTATTTTTGTTACATGATAATGAACAAGAAGTTCAAAAGCAAGGACTGTAACTTGAAGACAGCTGTGTGAAGATTGCTGTGACAGCTCGTAAGTTATCTATAAATAGATATAGTGTAAAAACATTAATCATGGGTTCAGAGCAAAGTTCCCAACAAGGAGGTGGTCCCTCCGGACAGGCAAGAACAGTTGGTCAGCTTCGTAGAGGAAAATCTATTCCTGAAAGGGAAATGGTTTCAGGAGAGGATGGAGCTCGACCTGGAAGTATTTCACCGGGACCGAGTATATGTTCAGACTCTGATTTGCCGTATATTTCCTATACTGTAAACAGACCTATAGGAGGTGGGTAATATGATGTTTGCTCTATACAATATTTTATATGCTCTTCATTAATTCGTTTCATTAATTTTTGAAGAAGTAAATTAGACACGTGATAAATTATATGCTTCCAGATTCTCCCAAATTGCCACAGAAACATTCTGGCCAGTTACAACGAGGAAAATCCTTGGGAAACCCCACTGGGCGCAAAGGCTCTGGTATCATGTCACGTAAACCCCTCCCCACTTTGAACAAGTCAGCTCACAATATTGTAGTTGTAAAACCTGCTGTAAGTGCTGAAGCTACAGACAAAGATCCAGATCTTCTCAGGCTGCAGGTATGAAAGGTGATATGTAGTTAGGTTTTTAAAATATGTGAGACCTTCTGTAATTTGGATAATATTTGGTTCTAGGCTACTCCTATGTTTCTTCCAATAATGAGAGGGACATTAAACTTGCCTGCTATGCGTGATCCTGAAGTGCTAGAAAGGTTAGATCCCTCTGGGCTGCTTGGACTGTGTTTGAAATACCAGCAGCATATGTCCATATGCAGTGAACTTGTTTCCAATGAACAAGCTCATCTGGCTCACCGAATTAGAGATGTAAGTTGGAGAGTAAGATTTTTGTATGTACTTTTGAAAAAGAATGCATTTTATATTAATAATCTTTTAATTTTTAAGAGGTGAATTTGGGGAGTAAAAATGAATGGCTTTGGCTCCAATTTTCAAACAGATACACTGCACATCACATACATTTACAAATCGGTTGTATGAAAAGAAATGTGTGTCATGGAGAATGCCCATTTCTATCCAATTCAGATATTTGTTTTGATTTATTTTGTTAAATAAGAGTAAAAACTGAAAGTGATGTATAGAGAGAAGTACAATGTGCATAGTATTTACACAACATTCTTATATTCATCAGTTTTCAATGTCACAATATTAAAATGTATTCATGCACTATTCTAAATAAAATTTGTTTCAATATATAAAAAATTAAACAAACTACCAAGATCTATGTAGTGTATTATAAATAAGTTCAATTTTTTTTTTCTGCGTTATTGTATTTAAAGTATCAGGTATTACATCTAGTATTTACTAACTGACACAGATTTATAATGTGATCATTATGTAAGATTATATTTTATTTGTTAATTTTTACTTCCTTTAGTTCAATTTAGTTTAAATTATTTTGTATATAACCATTGTCCAAACTGATAGTTTTAGAATGTACTGCTTTTAAATTAAATGCTTTTAGTAATGAAGTGTTAAGTGAGGTTAAAATAAATTAATTTGTAAATAAAAATTGTGCAGTTTTTGCTTTCTCAATGATGGAGTATGAACTTGCATTTTGAATTCATTTTTTTAAACACTGTCATATAATATATACAAGTTAAATTTTAATTTTAAGGGAGTATTCTAGAACAGGAAGTTGGAGTAAATACGCTTAAATCTCTCTTATACAAGTCTAATACAACTATATTAGTCTCAACTATATATTGAACTTGAAAATGTTTGGTTTTTCCAGCTGGATTCAGAAATATCTCGACTGATGGCAGTGATGACAGAGAGGCAGAAAAAATATGCCAAGTATGCAGAGAAGCTCAACAAAGTTCATGAGTTGTCTCATCAATTAAATAGATGTCATATGGTGTTAAACCAAACCCTTGAAAGTATGGAAACCCTTAATAATAGTTTGCCTGTGGAAGAGCGACTTGAGCCATTTGTTTGGACTACTGGTTGACAACCAAATTGAAAGTGAGGTATTCATGTGTGATATTATTTTACTTTGCTGAATGTTTTAGTTCACTGTTTATGTTCTGTTGTTTCTGTCATTGTATATATACTTGTTATGCATTATTTATATTTAATGATATTACTTGCTATCATTATTGTGTTTACTGGCACTGGTTGTGAAAATAAGATATTCATTTTATGATTTTTTTAAGGAATTGTGAATTTTTAGAACATACCTCACTTGTGTAGTATTTGTAATATTCATATATGTGCTACTTCATGTTCTTCCATATTACTGTACAATTTTTTGTTGATATTGCTCTGCTATGACTGCTTCATTTCTGTATTAATATATTATCAATATTAGCAAAACAAATGTACATGAAATATTTATGGAATATATTTAGCACAGTTTATTTATATATTCTCCAATGTTACTAAACAATTTGTTGAATGGTGGTTAACTACCAATCTTCACATGATCTGCATTTTGCATTTAGAGGTTGCATGCTGTGATGCAGACCCAATGAGCACAAATTGTATGCCAAATGTGAAAGGTTTATTGCTCAAAGGTTAGAATTTTGCATCATTGAATCAGGAATCTTCTACAAACCTTCTGAAATGAAACTGTAGGTTCCTTTTCTTGCATTTGGATCTACATACTATCAATTATTGTTTTTCAGTTATAGGTGATATGTACTGAAAAAAGGCCATAATGTAACCTTAAGAACTTGCAAAGATTTTAGTCTTCAAAAAATTTTAGATACACATTTTCAACTATGGCAAAAGGAAAATTATTTCCTATAAAATTATTGTTAGCAAATATTGGAGGAATTAGGTAATTAATGATATTTAAAGACTGTTTATCAATTTCTTCATATGGCAGATATATGATATGAATGAGATTTACCGCAATAGAGTTGTGTGGAAGAATTAAACTAACTATTAATGTGTTCCAATTTTTGTATAATGTGTGATAACTTTTGAACAGTTGAAAAAATTAATTTCTAAATAGTTGAAAGTATTAGATTGTTCCATTAAAGTAGTATATCTATAAGAAATTTCATGATATTGAATTACAAGAGTATTTTTTCAGTGAAGCCTTAAAATGAAGAATACTAGTCATATTTCTTAAGAAAATACAATATGCTCTTATATTGTCTCATGTTATGTGTTTTCTGTTCTTCACTTCACTGAAGAAATCTCTTAATAAAGCAATGGAAGCTAGTTTTGGTTCAATGTATTTGAAATATTGTCAGATGCCTTTAATGGTTTGTTGATTTATTTGCATACTTCATTAGTGTGGAAACACAGCATCGTTAGATTTTGCCTATACACATGAATATATACTGAGATATTTTCACAGTATTGTCACAATGCATTTCAGAAATGTAATGTGTAATTTGTAAATAATAAATATAAACGCTTAACAGATCAGACAAGCAGTGATACTACATCATATAAGAATGGGCTGATGAAATGTTGCTTAGAAGTAATTTAGAAAATTTAGTTAAGGTCTGATGAGTTATTTTCTCGTATTTTTTGATATTTTGACAAATTGAGGAAATTGAATGTATTGGTTATTTCTCTTGAGGTTTTTGCCCGAAACGGGATATTTTGGACTTTAATGAATCTGTTATTTGAAAGATATTCATAATTGTTCATGTAATAAAAAAAATATTTAATTCTTATTGTCAGAGACCAATAACAGGCTTAAAAATGCAGAGACACCCACAGTTCACATGAAATATTATTATTAATAATAATAATAATAATAATAATAATACAATGAAATCTGACTGACGGAACCTCTATAAGAAGGCCTTCTATTTTAGACAAAATATTGAATGAACGATGAAACAATGAAATTATGGTTGCAAATGACCTCTAAATACAAGCAACTGCAAGTGATTACAACTTGGGTAAAAATAAAATTTATTTTTATATTTCTTCCATTAACTCTTATAATGCATAGTGATGCTTCATGGGTCAACCCTGTATTAACGGAAAAAAAACTTAAGAAATGGAATCACCTTGGCTAATCATCTAACTCAAAATCAACAACTTATTTTACTGCAACTATGAAACTGTAAAACAATTAGGTACTGTATGTGTTTACTAAATTCTATTGAAGGCTTTACTACATAAATGCATGTACTTTTATTTGACCCCTTTCTTCTCTTGTGTGTTGTTGGCTACATGATAATGAATAAGAAGTAGCATTTGTTCAAGTGGTAAAATTTAAAAAAAATATATAGTGAATGGTGTGTGTTTTAATTTTAAAGTGGAAGTCTGTAATCTCTTTAATGCAACCAGAGAAGTCTTAAAATTGTTTAAGGATCTATCAGTTTTTGACGTACACAGGTTTTACTGAACTTGCTTTAACTTGCTAATATGTTCAATTGTTTTAAAGATAATTTTCATTGTAAGATTTATTTACACATTTAAAATTAATTATTTTGCCTCTTACATTCTATTCATTTTATCTAAATGAGATTCGTTGGTAGCAGTCTTGTTGCAAATTTCATTGAATCACAGCTGTTTTCAGGTGCTAGAAGGTAGATTTCATAATGGAAGCTGTGATAAATGTAGGAATTTGAAATAGCAAATAGAGGTGATAAAAGTATTAGTAGTATCTATGATTAATTAAGATTATTGTGACTGTGTTATAAAAATGAGGTGCCACTGCATATTTGAACTTGTGACTGGCAATTAATGTGATTGACTACACAACTCCTGGTACCAAAGCCAGCCTCGTTTAACCTCAATTTAAGTCTTCACTTCACACTATGTCTCTGCCTAGAATCACTTTTATAGTCCTCAGATAGATATTATTGATTATTGAATTGACAATTAGTAATAGTATTTTCTAAATCAAAATTTCTGAAACTATGAAATTCCTTTTGTAGTAAAATATATTCTTTTTTATTTCAGTTATGCATAGTATATATACATTTTTTCTTCTTTCTTCATACATTTTAATAAGAACTAGTACTAGTTCTGCATTATTTATAAGAAATGCAAAACCAGAAGAGTATACTGGTTCAGTGTGACCTGACATTACATTATTTATACACTTTAACTGCTGTTTGTTCTAAAATGTAACTTCACAAGAGTAGATATTAGAGGTATCTGTGTGAGAAATTATGACCATGTCATCAAATAAATTGAATATTGAATGTTGATAATGCTCTTTAACTGCTTAACCATCAGCCCACATAGATTCTTTACTCTATATTATGGAGATAAACGATGTATCATGAAAAATTATACATAATAGACGATTGTTAATGATTTTGTCTGATGAATTGGCAAAAACAAATGTACAATCTTTTTTGAAAAAACAAATTTGAGACATTGGTGTTGCTATGGGAAAGAAGAGGGGTTACACTGGGTGCCATCCTTAACAGAATATCATAAACAGAATAACATACCAATTTGTATGTACAAAATTGTAAAAAATAAGTTTATTTTTATTGATAAAACATTGATTATTTATTTTGCGAAAAAAATTTATATCATACAAATATAGTATTCAAACTTGATTCAGAATATTATTTGCTAATAAAAGTATTTGTTAATGGCTAAACAATGGGATCTGACGTTGATTTGATCATTTGAGGAAAGAGATTAAAAGTTGAATCCAACCCTAATACTAAATGTAGAGGTTCAGCAAAGTCTGTGAAATATAAATTTGGATGCCACATCAACAGTTTTCATAACTATAACTTCACAGGCACAATTATTATATTATTCAAGCTCATTCAGTTTGAATCCTTGAAGCATAAAATTAACTCCAGGGGGCAAAGCAAATCTGTGCAGAAGAAAGGTGATAACTTATTGTGGAAAACACCCCATAAGATTGACATAAAATACTAATGGTGCTATATTTCAATTTTTTTAATGTGGCCTGTCAAGATTATGCTTGAAAAAGGGAGAGGGAAGGGAAACTCCAATAGAAAGCTGCATCACTAAACGTAGTGACGTTGCAGCTCCCTATTGGAATCTGCTTTCCCTCTCCTTTTTTCATGTGTGATCTTGACAGGCCACTGTAGAAAAATGGAAGTATAGCACCATTAGTTTTACAAGGCAGGTTCCAATGGGGAGCTGCAATGTCACTTGCAATGCAGCTTTCTATTGGAGTCTGCCCTTTCTCACCTGGCATCGTGCGTGACTTTGACAAGCCACTTCAAAAATAAATCGAAGTATACAACTGTGCATACATTCTCTATTATTTGTAGATTCTATATTATTCTGGTACTGATAGCCATAGACCCACAAGACTGAAATGTTTTGATTTGTTATCAATTAAAAGTCTTGGGATCAAACATAATTGTAAGAAGAGAATTTTTGTGTTACATTTTCTGGGAGAAACTATATTCTCTCCAGTTTTAAGCTCGCAATCAGTGAATAAGCGCCTGGTTTTACCGAGTCTCTCGCTTCTCCAAACGTACAGCCGACCACTTAGCTCACTCCTTTGGGTGAATAAGACAACTCTTTGCTTTCTCCGAACAGAGCTTCATAGCACATTTTGTTCACCCCAGCCTGGTGATAATATAGGTCATTTCTTTTTCTGAACAGTGGGTTATAACAGCCTTGGTTCACCGTGATATACCAGAATTCAGAAACCTCGATTGCAACCACCAACCGTCTCTTTGATCGCGAGATTTGTTTCTGCAATGTCTTTTTCCATTTCTATGATTAAATGATTGACTACCGTTCCTGAGTGAGAACTCTCTCATAAATCCACACTCTTCCCTATCCTTTCTTTTCCGTTCTAGAGGGAAAAGTTGTTAACTAAACGTGTTTATTTGTTTAAAAACGTAAAAATGTATAGAGGTAACTTCCAATGTACGTACATAATATAAATAAAACTAGTGGTACTGCCCAAGCACATACTTTCTCGCTTTGTTTCTAAGTGCTCCGCAATATTGTACTGCTATATGAACCAGCATAAGTGTTTTCAAGATGCAAATTTTCTTGTCCGCTTCGAGGCCCGGTCTCAGATACTCAAAGTTAACTTTCCGGCACTCAAAGCACTACGCCACACAAGCGCTCTATGGATCGAACTCGGGCAGATGCATAAAAGGTAAAAATACCCGATTCATGTAAAAATAACTCCAACAAGCAAAATATCCGTTACAAGTCCCCAATGCCTCCAGTCTGTTCAGCTCGATAATGGAATATCAGTTTTGAAGGAATCCGCTGAATGGTTTAGGCCCTAACGTTTTGCCGTCAATTGATTTTTCGGTATCAAGACCCAACAAACATGGATTCTGGATACACCTCTTGTTAGAGGATTTTTTTCTAAATGTAACAGGGTTTATCCACTTCTTTGTTACCAGAAGCCCGGAAATAAGTTTTTCGTTTTCGAAAATTTGCCGTTTTTTGACGCTCAATTACATAAATTTCAAGTTGGTCCCATGGGTACTATAATATTGTATTTACTTTTCATGCTGACATATTCATTATCGTATTTAAATCGGTTCAAACAGATGCACAGAAGGACAATTGATTTGATGTGACTAACGAAAATGAGAGTCGCATCACACTTTTTACCGTCCAATATTGCATATGTAAAGAAAATTTTAAAAAATATTGGAGAGATTTTTTTACATTTTAATTTAAGAATGTTTTAAAAAATTGCATAAATTTGAGGCTTCGGAATTTGAGAATTCGGAAAAAAAATTACATTACTTTTCTTAAAAATCTTAAATTTTTACAACAGATTTTGTTTAAAGCAAAAATCGTTATCTCCAGTTTTGTAGTTTTCAAATGTTCACATTTGAGCGTTTTCGAAAAAAAACGAGCAATAACCGAAAATTAGACTTGCACAATATTTTTTACCGTCCCTTATTACAAATGTGGAGCTAATTGAGAGAAAAAATTTTGCTTATATTTCGCGCAATGCAACACGGAAACTACTCATATTTTCGAAACATTGAACATTAACGTATTTAAAGATCCGTGTTTAAAGAACAGATTTTATTAGGAATAAAATCTCTATCTTCAATTTTATAGTTGTAGTTGTTCAATTTTCTTATAATTTCAGAAAGACTGGTTGTGTCTCTAGTCCTCTAATTAAATCCTTTGGCCTGATATTTATCTGCTACGCCAGTTTTCTCAATCAATAGTATTTAGTATATTTCTAATGTTAATTCGCAATTAATACATTTAGGCATACTTCTCCTTACTATATATTTATTTTCGTTTGTTTACCACCCATTTTAATATTTGATTTTCATCTCTCTTGTTTTTTGACAAATAACCTCTATTTCTGTGATCATGGTAGAACCAAGGTAGAGGTGTTGGCTTAATTTGTGAGGCTACATATTCTGCTAACAATAGAAACAATCCTGCAACAATCCCAATGAACAATAAGAGTAGGAGTGGAATTATGTCTGATATGCTAACTTCATTAAATTTTTGTTCTGATGATGGAATGTCATATTGAGGCCACAATTCTCGGTAGAGCCTTTGGATAATTCCACTGCTTCGGAGATATCCTAACCTGTAACAGAAATATTCTTGATGTAGAGGTTACGCTCCGGCACTGGCCTGGAAAGCCAGCAGCACTGAGCTGGCAGGGCGGCCCGACTCAGGAATTGTATGGGAAGGTTACCGTGAGGATCAGCTGCGTTCTGGTGAGACCCAGTTACCTTGGTATGGGGTAACGCCCAGGTGCCCACTCCTGGGAGAAATCTCCCTGGTAGAACTGAAGGTGCGGGTAAATAGTGCAATTTGACGATAGACGCTTTGTTTTTGTACAGTAGTTCCTTGTCGATTTCTCTTCTATAACGTAAGAAGGTCATGTTTATATTGAACCGAAACCCTAGGAATATTTATAAATACCTATATTTTTTGGAATGCAAACGAAGAAAAAGGATATTTTGTAAATTGTCGGAATCCGGGTGCAAATTACGACAGTCCTGTATCGATCGCCTTCCCGCGGATGGGTCCGATTTTTGGCCGGCAAAATCTGACTGCCAGCCTCACGGTCAGGATTCCAATGCACTCGCTGTTTACAAATGACACGAACGTCTTCCCAAGTCTACAACAGCTGAGTCTGGGAAATGCGCGTAAAGTTGGGGAGACATGCAAGGTGCTACAAAATCGAAAAATTACAAAAAATCTGTCTACGCGAATCTGTGCTTCTAGGATAAAATGGAAAAGGAATTAAAGGTAAAGGTATCCCTGTACAATTGCAGGAATTGCTCACAGGTCGATGTGGCCCACAAGGGAGGTGAAGGTTGGGCTTCACCTATTCGTCGCCGTCGGCACAAGGAGGAAGTTGTGTGGCGAGCACAACACTCTCGCCGCTGTAAAGGAATTACTTAGTGTTAATATAAAATAAACACCAGTTTTTTTTACAAACTGAAATTACTCACCTGCATAGAACTGTAATGTATGGAAGTTTTGGTATTGTGAAATGGCTCATTCAATACCTATTTTGCTGAGAAGGGAGTTATAATCCAGCATCATATCAGCGTTTTCTTGCCGGGTGCCCCACGTTATGGGGCGTACAATTAATTATTCTATTTGACAGAACTTGTTAGAGAGGAGGCGTTTCCGCTTACTTCTGGTTGAGAAGACTGCGGTAAGGGCCAGCCTTGCGCAGGCCGATGGCGAGGTTGTCGCGCAGCGCGGTGCCGGGCACGGGCGCCACGTCGCAGGGCGGCGCGCCCTCGCGCAGCAGCAACGCCTGCGCGGACGCCGGCGCCAAGTAGGCGTAGCGCGGCCGCTGGCAGACGCGCGCGAAGCCCTCCGCGTCCGAGTGCGGCAGGGAGCTCAGATGCGGAGTCACCGCCTGCGCGTACACGGCGCGCAGCTCGGGCAACGAGCCGTCCTGAAACAGATCCAGCTAGAGCTGTTTGCCTCCGTTGCCTGAGCCAATAGGTCTCAACCTCACTGAACTAGCAAAGGGACACAAGCTAGGAATAAACAGCCATAATTGGAAATCCAATGGAAATGAGTATACTACCTTCAAATATTTGTTTGTGTACTTATAAAAAAATAAAACAGTGACTGTAGACTGATCGCGTCATATCCAAGAGTTAACTAGGATGGTATTATCGACTCCTCTAATAGTTCACTCATCTACCCTTCAGTCCACTAATGTAAATAGCCATGAAATCTGGAGGAAAAATTAAATATTATGTTGAAAATTACATCAACTCCGATAT